CATCCATCCACTGCACCCTCCATCTCCACAACTGCTGCGATCCGCCAGCCCAACGACTGTGCATTCAGGCTGCTGCGGATCCAAAGCCACAGCTTCATCCCGTCACGGGTCACCGACGCGATCGCCTCTATCGCCTCCACGCCCATGTCCCTTTCCCCAGCCAGCTCCCTCTGGATGTTGCGCAGCAATGCAAATGCCGTGGGCTGGTGCATGGGGATGATCTTCCCAATCTCTTTCATGAGTCTCTTGCCGACGTTAGGTTGTCGGACAGCTGCAGTGGGCCGGGGCCGGAGGCCGAAACTGAGGGTTGCCATGACAGCCTTGCACAAGCGCCGGACCCCTGGGTCCTCATCACCCAGGGGGTCAGCCTGGTTCAGGCCTGTCACCTCCCCCGACAGGACCTTCAGCCTCTCAACCACAACCCGCGCATCAGCAAACTTGGCCTCAAAGTCCTCTTCGACAGCGGCCACCTTCTGCTGCCCATCCCTCTTTGCCTGACCTGCAGCCTCGCTGGACATCAAGCTCTCCTCAAGATCCTCCAGCACATCGCGATGTCTTCCATGCACATTCCTGGGGGACATCCCTTTCCAAAACTGCAATGTCTCGAAGAACTCTGCCACTGGCTGCATCCCCTGTCCACCCTGTCCCCTCTTCCTCCTCCCCTTTGTGCCAGCCTGTCCGCTGCCTACGCTACCAGCATCAGTGCCAGTTTCTGATGCCCCATCTCCACCACCCTCACTTTCAGCAGCATCCTTGCCTGTCCGCCCTCCATCAGGTCCAGCCGTCACAGCATCTTTCGATCCACCATTTTCCCCAGATTTGCACCGCTTTCCACCCCAGAACTCAGGCTGGAATATGGCCGCGGCCTGTGTGCCCCAGTGCTTAGGGCTCTTCCCCACAGCCCCCTCCCCCTGAGAGCTGTCTCCGTCCCTGGCCTCTCCCCTCCTCCCCTCATCAGGTGCCATCCCATCCCCTGCCTCCTGCCCCTCCTGCTTTCCCAGACTGTCATCGTTCCCCAACCCACTGACCGGCGACTTCTCGCTCCTGCCCGTATGGTGCTTCGGAGTGCCTCCTGGCTTGGCCCAGAACCCAGGCTGGAAAACAGCAGCTGCCTGGGCTCCCCAATGCTTCGGGCCCTTGTCCCCAACAACAATTGAGCCCCTGCTGTCCTCTACCCCATCCTCCCCACTTTGGCCCTCTTCAGCTACAGGTGACTTGTCCGTGAAAGCGGATCCATCCTCCCCTTGAGCTTCAGCCCTGCTCCCACCTTTGTCCAAGACCGGCTCGCCAGCACCTCTCGCCCCCAGTCGGGCAGCAAGGTCGGACTTGCGTGGATCGATCTTCTCCCAGAACTCAGGTCGGAAGATCACTGCCGCCTGAGCGCCCCACTGCCCTGGCCCCTTCTTTGAGCCCCTCCTCCCCAGCCTTCCTGAAGAGCTATCCCTTAAGTTTGCTGCCTCGCCGCTTGCTGGATCTGGAGGATCTGATTTTGAAAGTTCTTCAGGTGTCCGAGCACGAGCGCTGGGGTCCTTTCGCCTCCACCTCCAAAATGGGCCCTCTCTTCCAGAGGATGGCATGGAGGGAGACACGGAGGCCTGGAGGCCTTGCTCGGCCACCTGTGCACCTGGCAGCAAGCAATTGTGCAGGGCTAAGGCGCCATGGGAATGCACTTATCAGTGCACCCACAACACACTGGAAAGCTGGTGGACAGCCCAGTGCTGCACAAAGCACTGAGCAAGTGGATGACTGGCCTTGAAGGATCTCGTGTTGTCCCTGCTCAGATGCCAGAGTCTAGACAGAGTTGCTGGCACATAGCCAAGGATTTCTGAATAAAGATTGTCACAACAATGCTGTGTATATCGGGCCTTCCCTTTCTAAACACTGGAGATAAGCATAGGTATGGAGAAATGGAAGCAGTGGTGCAATGAGAGTGGGCAACAGGGACAGATTGCCAATGCATGGATGTGGTATGACACGATTGAATAAGCTTAAACATGAATGGATGCTGTGTGACTGAGACTCTGCTTGTATTCAACGGAATCCTACAATGGACCAGTCTGATTGTCCCTGCTACAGAGAGAACTCCTGTATCACACTGAGGTGCTGCGGCATGAACACACTGACGGGCACATCTGTCAAAGGTTCCAGAACACAACCACGGGTATACTATTAACAAATGCAATATCCACTCTGGCAGCTTCACTCTTGAGCAGCTGCACAGCCAAAGAGCTTTCTCCTATGTCAACAACACAATTCCTTGTGGTTGTGCACACCAGAATTTGCAGAGCTGGCCTCCCACACGTCCAGTGCTGCATCAGGACCCCTGACATGGTCACCAAAGGGAGATGGCCCAAGTGTCGCTCCATGCATGGCCATTTCATGCACCTTGATTGACATCACTACTCTGGGAACCCCACATCCTGCAAAAAAACAATACGTTTGAATCTGCTTTGACTACATTTGTACAGAAATGACACAGCACAGTCATTGATCCTTGCAGTCTATGTTTGGGATACTTCCCAACAGCAACTTCAGACTACACTATCCCCAAACATTTCCTAAAGTTTGATGAACGTTGCTCATGCACCCTAAAGGCAAGTAAGGGCACTCAGTCAATATATCTATCAAGTGAAGATTTCCCCACCACAAGGCCAGAAATGGTTGTATATGCCGATGGAGGTACAGATGCACATGAGCACACTGAAGCTGACAAACAGCATGACAAAACACCAGACAAAGCCTTCCCAAGAAACTCTTGTCAGATAATGCAAGTCATCTGACCAATCCACCCACTCTATGGCCATCGCACACTGTTGCACAATACAACAAGCCAGGATTAGCAGGGATGTAAATTCCAATGCCATCCAACGTGGAACAGGTGGCTGACATCAGTTTTGATTCCGATTTCCTATCCTGTGGGTGACTGCCACTGCTACAGATTCATATTCTTCTCCAGTTTCCCTTTCTGGCTACATACACATTTGGTTCAGTTTCCCTCCCCATCTTCCTGGTCAAACCCCAGACCTGCAGACCTGGTGGCCCTTCCACGTCCATATGGCTTGAATACCTGCCTGTTCCGCATCCTCCACACTGAGAGCAACCTCCACATGGTGAATGGGCCCTTCAAAGCCTGGCCCCAAGCCCTCATGTATGGGGCCACCAATCTCTGGCAGTGCCCCCGAACCCACGCGCGGCGAAAGGACAGGTGGCGTCACACCCTGCGCGCGGACGGAATCATGCTGGGACAATGCAACACAATGGAGAAATTCCCCCTCGCTACGCTGCGAATGGGTGAGTTGTTGACGTTCTTTTGTAATTCAATATGCTACACCATTTCCAGAGTCCATGTGTCACCCCTCACGACGGAAGAGCTCACAAGAAGGCACAAGGCTGTCATTATTGTTATGACCACGTTGCGCACCAACACCGGAAGGTGTGTCAGCTGTCTGCACTGTGGCAGCATATCTGCAAATATGTCTAAAACCTCAAAGTTTATCCCTAGAAAAGGGGCAATAGCATCCATCAGGGGATGGCTGGGTGGGTACCACAGACCAGCAGTCAGTGGCATTCTTGCATCTACATCACAAACGAATTCAGAAGACATCAAAGCGGCCAACAGAGCATTGATAGTTGTCCATCAAGGACTGATAAGACGATGTCAAATCACAGCTTACGTGCAAAGCAAACAAATTGTGTGAAATCATACATGTCTTGCGGCCTGAAACATGTGTGCATTCAATTCAAACTGTCCAACGACCGCAGTCAGCACAAGAGCTGACACTCTTGTTACCCATAGGCAGACATAGCCCAGTGTTTTGAGAGATCTCCTGCTCTTTCCCATGGCACGCTGTGCATGCTCATTGAAACTTCTTTCTTGGTCCTTGAAAAAATCATCTCATAGTTGCTGTCACTCGTGCAGACCAGTGCTGCCCTTACCCCCAGCATAGGTCTCTAGCCCAGTAGTAAAAGCCATGATACCAGCCGTGCTGACTGCAAAGGGTCGCTGTCACTGAGTCCATACACAAGGCACCCTTTTCTGCATCGGTGTTTCCGATTGGCAGCCGCCCTCCCTTTCAGCATGAAATCCAGTCAATACAACTAGGATCGCAGAGAAACATGGGCTCACTGCCGTTCTCCACAAACAAGTGCCTCTGCAAGTGGGCAGCACAAGGTCTTGCCTGACGGGCACAAAAGCACTGGTTGGACATTTTGGCAATGAAAATATTTGATTTCACCTTCCTGCTGTGCCGCACCTTCAAGTCTGCCACTAGCGACTGGAGCTCCAGCCGGCCAAGGCTGTCACACATCACAGCGTCCGCCAGGTAAGCAGACACAATCTGGAACTGTTGAGGTACTTTGGACACAAAGGCAGCCAAGGAGCCATCGCTCAGCGCCTGATGAGACAGAGCAGAGCCACACAACGTCAAAGGCACCTTGAACTTGGACAGCCTGGTGACCAACTTTCAACAAATAGGCACAAGGGCACTGCTTTGTCATCCTCGACAAACACTATGTTGATGATCGAAGCAGACACCAAACTTCGTTTAGTGCCTGTCAACAATGGACAATGGTGATATGCAGCCCAACTGATGCCCATCAGCTCCTTTTCCCCCAGGACCCATCAACAACACACATTTCCGTTTGAAAATCAGCAGCTTAGAAATAGAATGGATTCTGGTCCTGAGATGGAGTATTCGGATATCGATTTCCATGCATTTAGTGTGTGGGGATGCCCGACACTGCTGCAAAGACCGAAGGGCTCAGCTTTGTCACTGTCAAGAAGCTTACACATCTACTTCCACTGCTGACTCTGCTTCCTGCAGCCCATCAGCTTGTCAATCTTGTCGGGGAGGCGAGTATTAACTAGGCAGCTTACTGTCAGTGTCCAGGATCGCATGTCCCTTTGTTGTACTCAGCTGGCTTGAATCTCACCCTTGGCTTGTTCCTTAGCCAGTGGCCATCCCCGAAATGCTTCTTTTTTCCTATTGGGTGGTCACCCTCTGGTCGTCACAATGTTTTCTGGGGATTTTCAGGGCCTGGCTCCCACACTCTTAGGAGTGCACATGGGAGCAGACGAGCCCTGCCAAACGGCTTGGGAGACGTCTACTAACAGGTTTGATCGTTGTCTCATCGTTATGTCAACAGACAGCTGCCTAGCAGGACTGCAAACCAACCTATTCTGGAGGTTTACAGTGTGTCGTTTGAAACATAATCACCCACACATGCCCACCCTACCCAAAGTGCCTGCCCAAATTCAGTCCTGCCCAGCCACCCTCCATATGACAAATTGCACCACAAACCTGTTCTTCTAAGGTGGGAGCCACTCTGTGCTATTCACACTCAGCAACCACACAGATGCAACAACTTACCAGCCACCTCACAGATGCGAGGCTGCGATCTGACTTGTTGGCCAGTGCAACCGAAGCAGAATGTCCGTAGGTTACTTTCCACTTGCTGCTGTTTGAGCTACACTTCATAAAGACTGCATTGGAACAATCTGTGCACAGGGTTGTGCGTGTCCTCGTCCTTAAGGTTAAAGAGCTAGACTTTGCCACCTCCTGACACACCTGCTGCACCCACAGCTTGGCGATCTCATCCTGGCTGTACCCCTTCTGCGTCAGCTTGGTGAGTCCCTCCACAGAGTCCTGAAGAGACAGAGGGTACGCACGGGCCATGGCTAGAACCAGCTTCCACAGTTGTGGAGGCACGCTCCGATTGCCCTCCAGCCGATCCTGCCATCATCACCATCATCATCATCCCATTGTCATCATCTCCGCACTTTCGTAGGATCACATTCATCATAAAACAACCAGCTATCCTGCCATTCAACACAAATGCTACAAATTGACATTGATGGCATTGATCAAAGCACAGCTAATAGCTGCCCTTTCACTTCCTATACAATGTCAGACATTGTTTTCTGCTTGCAAGGATTTGGTTCCCAAGTGGTTGTTGCTTGTCACTTAAACACAGATAGAGCACAGGAGAACAATTGTTGGGAAAACACACTGGCAAAAATGGCAGGGGTGCACACTGGCTGCGACAGCAATGCCAACCAGCAGCCAATTGTCAGGTTCAATCCCTGAGGATGGGCATGACAGATTGGAAGGGAGTGTGCTTGGTGCCATGGGTGCAGGGCTGAGGCCAAAAATTGATACCATTGATTCTCTTGAACAAAAAGAGGACTGTGAATAGAAATTTGAACGCCGTAAACGCACAAAACTCCCCTTCGGCAAGAACAGCTCAGACAAGGATGCCGATGTTTCTCAAGCAACCAGATTTGCAAGTAAAACACATTAGACCCCTGCTGGGCCATGGTTGAGGAATACCCGAAACCGAAACCCAATATTCATCCGTGAGGCCATTGCCGGCCCCATGCCTTCAGGTTCCCTCCGCCCAATCTTCCGTTTCCCAAGCTTCGAACCGGGGCCCGTCGGCCGGCCATCATGGCCTGCAGTCCACCGGCGCCTTTCTCCGCACTCCCAAAACCCTCCACCAGCCCAAGCAATCACGCACAGCAGCCATCGCAACGCGATCGCCCCAAGCACCACGGCCCATCTCGCCGATCCGCCAACAGACCGACGCAGCTTCCGGGCCAACTCCCCAGCGCCACGTGGCGAAGTTCCTCATCCCGAGTCGCACAATCCCCCACCCCAAAAACCCTCAAAATGTCCCTCAAGCCTGCCATCAGACCCCGAATTCGGGTACAAGCACGCGCAGCAACTGTGGCCGGAGTATGCGCACGGGCCGGAGGCGTGTATTCAACGCGTCGCAAGTCCCTGCAATCAGATCAACGGCAACAACACCAACGGCAGCTCACCTCCAGTATGTCGCGAACCGCCGCCACGACCTGATCCGTGGCGTCCTGCGACAACACGTCGCCCTCCGGCAGCCCCTCAGTCGCGGACGCTATCGCCTGCCGCAGTCTCGAGAGCACGGCGTCCCTCCGCAGCCCTTCCATTGCGTCCAGGCACCTCGAGGGGCGATGGCGTCACGGCGCACAACGGGCGCGGGATTTCCGCGCAGGCGGCGCGGAACCTCGGCCGGGGCGGCGGAGCTACCGCCGACGCGGAACGCGCGCGGCGCTCGGCCGCTGGGTGGGAGGAGGCCCCCGGGGATCCTCCGCCCCTTGTGGTGGGGAAATACTGTGGACTTTGGGACTTGCCAAATAAATTCTGGCATATTTCCCGGGAACAAGTGTTTGTGTGCGAATTTTATGTACCCCCATCGTCACAATTTTCTTGGGAGCTGCGATGGTGGCAGCGGAAGGAATCTTGGGATGCTACGATTCCTTCGTAGAACTTTTGAGCGCGACACATCTGTATATGAACTCGGCGTGCTTACCAGTCGCCAGTGATGATCACCAATGGTGGCATATTGGAAAGATCGAAGTTATATGGCGAATTTGTTATTTACTTTTAGTATCATACAAAATTACTAGCTTTGAGGTATTTTGATTCCCAGAAGTTTTCTTAGAGAATGGGCAAATTTACACTGTTGCATGAAAACTATCGTGCACACATAAGTTGCAATTGCACCGTGATGATGCTCCCAACTAGCACAAAAGCTTAATGAGCCATTTGAAGACAATAGTAAAGAACATTGAAATTTTCAGATCATTTATCGCATCAGAAGATGCCGAAACAGGTTGGTCTGCTTTGCCTTGATATCATGCTGCCTTCACAGCAGCGGTGTGGCACATTTACCTATGCCCCCACCCACCGGCCCTTACTTTCCCTTGCAGGGAAGACGCCATGTCGATTTGGGTATGCTAAACATCAATTTAACGTTGAACGCAGCCCTTATGCCGATGCCAGGATGACTCAGTAAGCTTACTTCTTCCGTCCAAGAATAATTGCCGTCTATGGGTTTGGGGCACTAACTCTCCATTCCACTTGCACCAGATTTCAATGAAATTTCACCTACAATTGTATCTGTGAGGTTGAAGCATAACTAGCAAAATTTCAAGTCAATCTACTGAATATAGAGGATTTAGCAGTACTGTGTAGCAAGGGTCCTCTAGCCAGAGAACTGCAGGTTTTCGACGTGGCGGCGAAAACGGCCGTTTTTGCTGTTTTGCTGGGGCACAACTTTGCAAGCACTGCAGTGACCTTCCCTCTAGACACCACGGATAGTTCTGCATGTGCGGCTTTGCATCCACCCACAAAGAGGTACGGGCGACATAAAACACGTTTCGAGCGTGCTGATCGCGATCCAGCCACAGCGACTTTGGCAATGATCAAACTCGCTGTGGCTTATGGCTGGAATTTCAAGCTCGATGCAGAGGATCGGAGCTATACTCCAGGCCCAGAATTATGGGCCAAGACTTTGCGACCTTCATAATTGCCACTAAGGCAACTGCGGGAGGTCTCCCCATCGTCTCGACAAGGTGCGAGACAAGGTGATTGCCATCACCTCAATTCTTCGTGGACAAGCAGTGAATTGGTCACTCTGACGGTGATCGCGTATTGGCTTGGTTTCGGCACTTGAAAGGATTGGGGGGCTAGGAGAATGGCTAGATAAGTAAGTCGTGTCTATTGAAGCAATCGAGACTCACTAGGCTTTGATGGATTCTGTATCGGGTGCAAGAATTGGCCGGTTGGGGCCGTTTGTGGATTCTGGGCTAAGCTGCACGCGGAAGCCTCGATTCAAGCATGAATCCAAGCGGAGTGTCCAAGCAAAGACACAAAACAACCTTGAGAGATATCCCGCACTCAACCCAGTCTTCAAAGTATTGGACCGCAGTCTTTTCCGCTCAGTGAAGGTCCGCGATCGATTGAGAACATTGCGGATTTCCAGCTTCGTTGTTGCCACGACAATGGCCGCCCTCAAGAATGATCCAGGCACGGTCGAGTGGGTTTGGCAAGAGCTGCGCCATGTGGTGGATGCTCCCCTCGTATAGGGCAGTGGCAACAACTGGCTTTGCTACTGCAGTTACAGGAGCGGCTCAGAATTGAAGGGGTCTCTGGGAATATGAACGGAAATTTTCTTGGACCGATCTAGGGCAATTTGGGGAGGCTGATCACAGGGGTGAGGTGTGACTTTTCTTCTTAAAATTGGATCTAAGGCTTTTGAGACTCAACCTTTCCGATTCTAGCCTCCTTTTGTAATTGAGATGCCATTTTGATAATGAAATTTCTCATTCAAATAGATGAAAATTAATCTTGGACAGAGGAAGTACACAACAACGCTGGACAATTTCGAGGTGGTTTCAAGGGAAAAAAAGAATTTCAGCGACTGTAATGCACCTAAAAATTGGATGTTCAAGACCATTGAATCTCCAATGGCTGTCCTTTGGGGTATTATGGGGTATTTATTCAAATTTGAATCCTTGTAGGGGTTTTGGAAGAAGTCACAAGCAGTCTGCCTTGGATCAATATCATTTTGTGTATCTTCCCACCTTATGTCGGAATTGCGTCAATTAAGGAAGAAACTATGTCGACTTTGGCACACTTACCGTCAAATTTCCACGAAGGGGGGGGAGGGGGGGAACTGTGACGCTAAAAGATTATGTTATTGACTCAAAATCGATATAAGGAAGTAAGGTGCCCAAAAGTGCCTCTGATAAACGGCAAAAACACTAGTCCTTGATATTTTCAGCCTGCTCCAAGTGTTGCATCTTCAAAGAAGTCATTAAAATGGATCAATTTGCAGCCTTGAGGCTGCCCGCCTCAACTGTAATGGCATTTAGAATCTCATTTTCAGCCCACTGAAGTCAGCGCAGCTTTCATTGTTTTTCTCTTTAGAAATACCCGGAAGTTGAATAACACATTTAGGTTTGTTGCTAAGTCATCCTGACTTCGTCATAAGGATTGGTTTGGGGGTGGGGTGGGGGTGGAGCTCAACATCAAATTGACACTAAGCTTACCAAAATCGACATAGCATCTTCCTTTACATAATCTCTTAGTGTCACAGATCCGTACCCAGAACCCCTAGCGTCAAATTGACGCCAAGGGCACCAATATCGACATAGTGACTTCCCTTGCTATACTGAATGATTGCTAAGAAGAAGGAACTATGTCGATTTTAGTACGCTCAGCATCAATATAATATTAAACCCAGCCCACTTACCCTCCCACCCCTTGTTAACGTCAATCCTTATGTCGAAGCCAAGATGACTCAACAACATTACCTAATAGTGTGGTGCACCTTTATGATGTCTCTATGGATGAAACACAACCAGAGTTGTGGCAATAGTGGTGGGTTGTAAATTGGGATGGTGAAAACCATGGTAGGCGATGGGGGCATCCACAGTAATTGTCGATTTGAGATATTATATGTCTTTTGTGCGGACGGCATGCATAAGGGAGCTTTTGGGACAGGTCATGAGATTCTTGCCACTTTTCAGCAGCGTTTTGGTCATCCTTCAAGTTTATGTCGACTTTTGGCAATCACGTTATCTTTTAGTGTTACAAGTCTAGACCCCCACCACCCACCACCCACCACCCACCACCCACCACCCACCACCCACCACCCACCACCCACCACCCCACGCCTTACCCCCGCTTTGTGTCAAATTGATATTAAGCGTACTTATTTCGACATAGTGCGGCACTATGTTGTACCAATTTCGACATAGTGCAGCACTATGTTGTACCAATTTCAACATATTTCGGCACTATTAGTGACTTCCCTAAGATGAGAATGGTTGCCTGATGCTTGGATCCTTCATATC